TCTTTTCTTTAATCCATGTGAAATCTATTTTTATGTAGCAGGCTAGAAATTTCACCTTATTTTTTGCCCAATTAGATAGCCCTTTATTTTATTTATTTATTTTTTTAAGTTATTGATTTTTAAGAGAGAGAGGAAAGAGAGAAACATGGATTTGTTGTTCCACTCATATACGCATTCATTGTGTGATCCCTGTACATGCCCTGACCAGGGATTGAACCCCAACCGCAGCGTATTGGGACGGCGCTCTAATCAACTGAGCTACCCGGCCAGGGCTAGTTATCATGCACTAAACTTCCATGTATTTATATGTCTGTTTCTGAAAATTGTTCTGTTGTATTACCATGTACTGGCTATACTTGTCCGTTTTCTTTTCAAATTAGAATCAGCATTTGTAATTACTTAAAAACCTTGCTAGATTTTCCAATGGCCTTCACTTGAATTTGTAGATGACATATTTTGAGAGAACTGACACCTTTTCAAACCAGTCCCATTCCAGAACGTGGCACGCTCTCCGTGCATCAAGGACAGTTCATGAAAGTTTTATAGTTGTCTTCCTACAAGTTTTGTACATTTCTTGTTAGGTTTATTTCTAGTTTCTATACACATATAGAAACTAGAAAAAAAAGATATTCGCAGGCATACTTCACTTTATTGTGCTTCACAGATGTTGTGATTTTTACAAATTGAAGGCAAGTCTCTGCACTGACAAAAAGATTACGACTCGTTTTGCTGTGATAGTAGCCTTATTGTGGTGGTCTGGAACCGGACCCCCAAGATCTCTGAGGAATGCCTGCATATAAAAGTTATATATAATTCAAAATATAAATATATACAATTAATTTTTTCTATTATGAATGGACAGCTTTCTAACTGGTCATGGTCACTGAGGGTGTCGATCATGTAACTGGCCAGTTCACTGGCCTCTTTTATTAGTTCTAATAACGTTTAAGTTGATTCTTATGGAATTTTTAGGTAGTCAATTATATTGTCTGCAAGTACTGACAATTTTTTTCTTCCTGACATTCATAATTACTTTAAAATTTTTTTTGTGTTATGTACTGCCTAGGCCCAGAGCTGGACAATACTGGGTTATAATTTTCCTTTTTTATTTTAATGGAAGTATTCCTAATATTTCAACATTAAGTACAATGTTTGTGTCATTTTTTTTTGGAGGATGCCTTTTATCATGTTAAAAAAGCAATTTTTTTTCTATTCTTAACTTGCAAAGAAAATTAAAAAATGTAAAAATCAGTTACCAGTTACTATTAATTAGAGGCAAGATAACTATGTCTAGGACATAGTACTGGGTAAGATCTCTTCTCGTTTTTACTAATGGTTCAAGATTAAATAGTGATAGTAATCTTTCAAGAATCTTCTAAAGGCAAATATTGAAAAGTATATAAAAATGCTGATCTAAACATCAAAACCCTTCGAGAACCAATAGTCCCACAAGTAACATGAGTGGAGGCCCGGGTCTGGGGAGAGTGACCATTTGTTTTTGTAGCTTTGACGGGGCACCTGGAAAGGCCCGGCGGGGTTGGCTGTGGCATCCAGTTCTCCTGGAGTCCTGCAGGACTCAGTCCTCAAAGCAGCAACCATGTCATTGGAGCAGACAGACGTGGATGAGTCTGGAAGTCTGGTCGACCTTATCGAAATATGCAGCAAAGGCACAGAAACTGTGTGTGTTACACAGACTGACACTGGGTGCTCATTACACCAAACCCCGCAGAACCGGGTCCAAAGTGGCGTTAGAAAGGAGTCTTTGTAGCAAATACCTATATGCCTGTTTAAAGCAAGAAAGACAATTTTTCTTTTTTTTGGAGAAATGACTGGGACCCACATTACAAGAAAAAAATTCTGAGATGTCCTAAATTGAATGACAACAGGCCCGAGGGGTGGAAAGAAGAAAACAAGAGAGGTTAATCAGTTACCAACTGCGGGCCAAAACCAACAGACTGCTTACATGCCTGAACATACGTTGAAACTTTGAATTAGCTTCAGGTGGATATTTCTGTGATTATCTAGAGAGAAAAACTGAGTAGCCGACCACCAGACGCCACCATCTCTTGCTTACGCATGAACTTTGCGGACTGTTGCCCGCAGCTGATCCGAAAGATTGCACCGTGTACCTGTTCCAGAGCTACCCCCCTTTATTTATAGGCACTGTAAATTCTTTCAAAACAACTTTCATCTTTCTTCCCCAAACTTAATGTGTGGAAGAGCCCGCCAGCTCCAGGATGGCAGACGTTTGTTTTCTCTGTCCAGCCCTGCGGCCCCAGGATCTGGTCCTTTCTCTGGCCAGCAGGTGGCTCAAGAAATCCTTTCCTTTTGAAAAACTTTCCCTTGTAAAGGTTTTTGTTTAACACTCCTCTGATGGGTGGCTTTATTCACCGGAGGTTTTGGGGTCTACCAGCTTTGCCACCATTTGGAAAGAGAGGAATTGAACAGGGTCTGTCTGGTCTTTCCTTCAGCTCAGCCCCATCAGCCGTCAGTACTGCTCTCAGCGAAGGTGAGCCCAAGGGTACTGTTATTGCCACCAGAAGTTAAATAGTCCCTTGGTTCTTTGCTACCTCCTAGTGACTATATTACACGCCTGATGTCTTCAGCCAGCAGGACTACACGCCCAAGCCCTAGTTTACCTGCACTTAGTCCCGGGCTCGGAGTGCCTGACCCTGTGCAGCCTGCTTTGCCACCTCTTCCTTTCCTGCCCCTCTGGAAACACCCCTCTCACCTTCCTGTCGGAGGATCTCCCATCGTCTTTGCTGGCACCCTTTGGAGCCTGCCTTTTGAACACTTGGGCCACCTCTGCAGGGACAGAGGCTGCTTCCCACTCACTTGGAACCCACTCTAGCTGGGGAGAAGCCCGTTCCTGCAATTTCAGATGAATGCAAATGCTTCTGCATCGCCTTACCTGGGTACCGCGCTTTGCATTCGCGTGGGGTATTGATCTCAAGAGCTTGTTGGAAATGTAGATGATCATCGATTTGAAGCCAGTTTCTTATAGAATCTATAGGTGTCCTCTAAATAATTGTAAGAGATGAGTGCCCTGTGTTCTGCAAAGTTGGGGTGGGGTTCACAGGAAAGGGAATGTCAAAGTGCTTGTGTTTCACAACATGCGGAGATAGAGGCTGTACGTCTTCTGTGGCCACTCCTGGGGGAGCACAATTTTGAAAAGGTCATGTTCCATCTTACGACCTCTCCTTCAGGAGAAAATGAAAAGTGTTCTGGACTTTTAGCACTCATACCCAATGTTTCGTGTACTTTTAAAATATTTTGCAAGAATGCAAATCACAAAGGGAAATGTCTTTTAGGTGTGGTATCCATGTTAATGTTTATTAGAAACTCCCAGCTGAGGATGCCAGCTAAAGTACTGAGTGTGCACAGTTAATTGAACACATTTTAGCAGAACTTTGCTTTGAGCTGTTCAGTGACTCAGGCATTTTGTTAACTGCTCTTGTTGCTTTACAAGCACACCGTGAAATGATACTTAAAACTCAGTAAAGGAGATGATGCACAGTTTTAACTCCCCAAATTGAAGTTGTCTCAGTTTAAGTAGAGCAGGAAGAGTTTATATAACTAAGTGACCATTTGAATGTTGAGTAAAAAGGAGAGGAATCAAAGATTATACCTAGTGGAATTATGAGGCTTCTAAATTGTTTAGGTATAATAACTTCAAGGCAACACAACACACTGTAATCAGAATAAAATCCAGTGCTTTGCATGTGCCAACTCCGTGGCCTCCTACCAAATGTCTGATCACTGTAAGCAACGTTGAACTTGTTTACCTTATATTTAGATTGACAAGGTGTTATACTGATTGTTATATACCTGTGAGATTCCAGAGAAAGACATCTTTTTCCAAAGACAGAAAGTTGGATTTAGTGATGAGTAATTGTGGATCTCCCAAAGTCACGGTCAGCACCTGATCAATGATCTTATTCCTGTGTCTCATGGTGTCTTTGCTCAGTCAACTTAATACATCGGAGCACTATTCAGGGCAGTGGAAGCGATTTCATCAGAAAGTTGGTTGGTAATGCAAACAATATGTAGGATTGAAAAATTCTTCATACCATACAGTAAGCATTTTTTCCACTTCTAGTATGTTTCTGGTTTTATTTGTTACACTTAAGTGCAGCTGGAATTTATTTTGGTGTAAGGAGTGAGGTAGGGCTCCAACTCCCCATCCCTTCCAAACTGCTAGCTGGTTATTTAAAAAACAATTCAATGATTAAGAATGTAGTTTTTAAAATGCCCATGTGTCCCAAATGCTGTGAAAATGGAATACTAATGAAATCTTGGAGAGAATATGTGGCGTGATTTTCTGTTTGCAGATGGTTTTCATTCCAATTAAGATAAATTCAGGGCTTAATGAGGACTTGTAAAGAAACAAATTCAGGAACGAATAAGAGACACTCTTTTATCCACAAAAAATGTAGGGGGAGGAGCTGAAATGAAGCTGCGAACAAGAATAAAGTGGTTTGTGTCAGAAATAACAAACATATTTCGAAGTGTATGTAGATACAGGGATACTTACTGCAGCACTATCTATAAGACAGCCCGGTTTCCTGAGCAGCTGCAAACCTCTGGAATACCTGCTCTGTAAGGCACATCAATCATCGCCATGTGTCTGTGCCGTGCAGTTAGACACAATCCGAAGTTAGACAATATAAAAGAAATATATTGTCTTCATTCTCATTTTAATTTTTCAAGTAGCATGGATTCCTTTTTAAAATTTAAAACTGTTACTGAAAACAAAGAATATGTTGAATGTTGGACAGCTAAAGAAGAAATGAGAATAATCATGACAGTAAAGAGTTTAGCATAGGGCACAAAATAATTTGAGAGATATAATTTCATTTGCAGATCGATGGCCATTTTATTATGACCAGGATGTTAAATACTTGAACAACGCACATTTCATTTTTATAGCAAAGAGACAACCAGTGAAAGAGTTGATTTGAAAAATTTATTATTATTTAAAAAAAAAAGCAATTTCTAGGGTTTGTCATTGTATAGGTTTAGCTTGGTCTCCTACAGCATGGTACAGCGATAACTGATTTTTTTATAACAATGACCCAGAAGCACTGGAGATCCATAACTGTTTTCTGAATTATCACAGAAAGAAGAAAGAGTTAGAAGAAGAGTTTAATGTTAATTGTATTTTAAAAATCATATTCTAGTTCTTTTAAACTGGTTATCCAAGTATGATAATATAGCAGAGCTCAGATAACTAGAAAAGGCAATTGATGAGAACACCCCATTCCCATCTGGTGCATTAACAGGCATTTCACGGCATACATCTTTATATAGTTTGCAAACGAATTCAACCCATTTTACACAGCATTAATTATTTTTATTGAGTTAGCATTGGGCTGAAACGGTTGCTCATTATCTCATAATTATTATTATTATCTGATTTTTTTGGATGGTTTTCCCTCATCTGACAGTGTTTTGACTTTAGTGTATATGAAATTTTGAGATCATCTCTGCTCATTCTAGTAATATTTACAATGAGGTTACCCATGGCCAGGTATCCAAGGCTATTCATTAATTTGTCCTCTAGCTCTGTTCTTGACCTTGGTAAAAGAGAGACCTTGTGTCTCACTGGAATATGTGCCAAACTCTAGGCCAGAACTGTCTGTGGGCTGGTCATTAACAGAGGGGACCCCTCAAGGTTCTTATTAATGCTGTGCAAACAAGGGTCTCGTCAATTCAGTAACTATTTGTACATTTATAAAAGCAATACGGTCATGGGAAAAACCAACAAGCACAGCTTGGTAGAATAACCTGCCATGAAATATCATTGGCTTTATAATAATTTACTACAACTGTTCTTTTTATTCACACTGGGTAGGAAATGCTTCCATCTAACACATGGAATACGAATATATACAACAAAAAGTTGGGTTTTATTATAAAAAAACTTCACGAAGACAATAACATGGGGGTTTAAAAAACAATTTTGTGCAGTTTCCTGATCACAATCATATGTCTGCTGCCTTTTACAGGGAATGATACAAGTACTGATAGATTTTATAAACCAGTTAAAGAATTTTCCTGCCTGTAATAGCCTACTATTAAAATAGCGCCTGTTCATACAGTATATGTGTTTTTCCTTCTCAACTGTAATTCTAAATGACTACGGATGACACGATGAGTCCGTTTCAAGGACAAACCCTGCTAATCCTCTTCAAAATCATCATATATTTGCAGTTCCCTATTTCATCAACAAGTTCACTGGAACAGCATCTCAGAAACTGCACAGGGCTTCTGGTTGACGTGCTGCTGAGATCCCGAATGTTGCGTTGGCACCCGATGCCTGCCATCCTTTCTCACAACAGTGTCAGCATCTTGGCTGGAACTTTCTCGTGGCCGCAGTGAGTCATGCGGCAGAGGTGTGGGGTGCACTGTTTTGTACTGCCAGCAGTCAAAACAGTTGTCAAGGGCTCAACATCTCCCACTGTGAGCCTGGGGAACCCATTCTTCTAGGGAATGGTCTTCTGGAGTCCAGCAATGTTACTGCAGGTGGTGGAGACATTCTGGCCCCCACTTCATGAAGGACTATGCTAAAGAAGAAGCCTAGTATTCTAAAAATAAACAATACAGGCCAGGTTGGGGATGGGGGGAGGGAGGTTGCTTTCATGAGTCCTGGAAACCATCTCTGATTTTAGCTCTAGGAGAAGGCTGGGGGAGACTCCGGAAGCGGCAGGCTGGGAGGAGGGCTGGGTCTGCCGCACGTTTGGAGAAGTGTCAGTTTGGCATTAACACTGCATATTTAGTGCCTGTAGTCTAGGCACTGTGCCCAGATCTATTTCCCCCCGACTGTACCTTTTATGCCTAAGGGTTTCCCCATTCCTCCCTGCAATCCTTGTTTCTTTTTGTTTTCTAAATAGGGATGGCAAACAGGGCTCATCTCTCTCTCTCTCTCAGTTCTGATGAGTGGTGGCTCTTTGGAGTTGTGATTTGAGGATTGTGAAGAAATCATTGGGCGCCACGGGAAAGAGTGCTGGGATCGATTAGCAATGTCTGTTGTGACTAAGAATTGGTGCTTATGGAATGCATGCCAGGTCCGTATGGTTCTAAGTAAAGTGAAAGAATGAGTCTGGCTTGATGTATTCTTGAAGGATCTTTGGAGACCAGAGCCCAAAGCACTAAGTTTATATTCTGCTTTGTTCCTGAAAAGATTTAAGGAGTTTGGGAGAGGAATTTTAAGACCTGTGGAAAGCTGGAGAGGGAGGTCATTTTGAACAGGCTAGTGCAGAAGACCCTCTACAATGGCCCTGTTTTCACCCCTGGGTGCTGAGGCCCAAAGTTTAGAAAGTGCTTATAGGGCTCACAGCAGATTCAGAAAACCCTGGAGCAATGGAGTGAGGCCCAGGCACGGTGGGAATTTCAGGAGAGCATTTCTGGTCTGGGTCAGCAGATGATAACAGAAATCTATTCGTGTCCACATATGTGCCTTTTTGGGGTTAATCAGAGAACCTGGGGATAGTTTCTCTAGTATGTCAGGACCATCGTCTCTTGACTCTGTCTAGAAGTCTCTGGTGCATAACTTTACCAAGAAAGAAAAATAAAATCAGTAAAATTGTGTGGTAGGTGCTAGTGGTGCTATTTTGGGAAGATCAACTCACATTTGTCTCTGGAAAATGGGATCAATCACTTATTCATATCTCGAGTGATTTAAACCAAAGGCAATCTTGATTTTTAACATGAATCATTAACTTGTTGCTCGTCGACAATGCGTTGTCTGTTGATTTAGGGGACCATGTCAGGCCCACGCCAGCCCCCCAAGCTGCTGATGGCCTGTGGGTTTTAGAAACTGCCTGACTCTCCCATCAGTATGGCCCTTGTCAATGCACACACCCGATTTCACTTACACAGCAACATGGCAACATACCTTTTCCATCAGTAAACACCTGTTCTTTCCTCACTTGGAAACCGGGAGAATTTGGAAGAAAAATATGGCACGTTTTTACTCCTCTGAAAATCCCAGTAAGACACACTTTTGGATATTTGTCTGATGTTGAGTTTCTTGCCACAATGGCTACTCCAAGCTTTCCCCAAAATTGTAGGCAAGGGGTTTCCACCTTCCTGGGTGGTGCATAGGGGCGAGGATTCCTTGGCTCCTAGGCCAAGGGTCCACAGTTAAAGGCTGGAGCTGGAGTGGAGGAGGGAAAGCAGCATTTAGAAACTCAGCAATGTTATTTCTTATCCGACTCTGCATTTCACCCTCAGAGAAATGATTTCTTATTGGTCTCCATGAGACACAATCTCATTTAGAGCACCTCAGCAGTTTCACTGTCTCTGGAACCTTCTAGAGCTGATGGCTGGCTGGCTATCATTGCGACTGCAATTGCCTCGTCGTTTGTTTTCAAGCGTTTCAAAATTTCGATTTCTTTCCACTGATCACAATTGTTGGCTTATTGGCATGACAAACCGATTTTTAAAGTGGGTGAACATTAGTGGGCTTTGTCACCACTCATTTCCAAAGCAGAAGCCTCCTTTAACTGGAAATACTTGTTCTAACACCACCAAGGAGCCTCCTCCCTAAAGTTTTTGAGAGATCCCAAAGCGTGAACTTTGGGTTCTAGACAGAAGGCCTAGGAGGAGGCCGGGAGGGGGGTGGTGCCCTGTTGGGAGGTGGAGCCTGAGGGGGAGGGGGAAGGGTGGAAGGTGGGGATGGAATTGGAGGAGTGGGAGCACTGGGGGGTGGGGGAGGGCAGTGGGGTGCAGGGGGTGGGGGTGTGTAGATGGGGGCAGGAGGTGGCGAGCTGGTGTGGTAAGCGTTGTTGAGGGGGTACTTGGCCGGCTGATTGTTCTTGACTCTGGTGAAGTTGATGCAGCGCCCCTGGAAGAGAATCAGAGAGAAGGAAATGTGAGCTGGAGGCTGCTGTGACCTTGCAGCAGGGAGGTGGGCAGCGTGGTGGGCAGCCCGAAAGAACGTGCAGACACACGGCTACGACAACACTCTACGGGCATGAGCAGGACTTCGCAACACATAAGCTCTTGTGGCCCAGCTGGTGTGGCTCAGTGGTTGAGCATTGACCCAAGAGATTACTGGTTCGATTCCCAGTCAGGGCACATGCCCAGGTTGTGGACCCGATCCCCAGTGGGGGGCATACAGGAGGCAGCCAATCAATGTTCTCTCTCATCGATGTTTCCATCTCTCCCTCTCCCTTCTTCTCTCTCTAAAATCAATAAAGAAAAAAAGAAAAAGAAAAAAACAACTCCCATGTCCTTTTTCTAAGGTTACTGTGTTGCAAAATTATTTGTTAAAATTCATTTTTCCTGCAGTTTCTCTCTCTCAAGGAGCAGGAAAAGAAGGAATCTGACCTTAGCCAGATGCATAGGGTCAAGCCGAGCACAGAGGTCATCAGGGTTAATCTCAATGGCCTTGCCAGCCAGGAATTACCATCGATCGTTTCATTTCATACCTGAGGAGACTGAGGCTCAGAAAGTTCAGTCATTTTCCCAAGGCCACACAACTAGGAAAGCTGGGGTTGGCGGAATTTGAGGAACAGTTACCCATAGGATATACCAGCGTGTGCTTTGAGACTTGGCTTGGGATGAGAGTCACCAAGGGGCATATTGCGCGTTGCTGGGAGATGTGGGGTCCGAGCAAACCTTTGCTCACATGTCCACTCATCCTTCAAGTTGTAAGTCAAGTCCCTCCCCCTCCACACATCTTTCCCTGATGGCTCCTCTGCTCCCCCACCCCCCACCCCCATGTTCTCTAGCTATAAGCCAGGCCACGTGCCAAAGCCTGCAGACTAGAATCGTTTGATCTGGAAATGCCTTGCCTCCCTAACCAGATGAGAAACTTCCAGAAGGAAGCGGCCCTGTTTTATACTTTGCTGCTACAGGACTGGTTTAGGATTTACAAGCCCTATTTAGATGCCAGCATCTTCTCTGAGCTTGCATTTCATGAGCTTCAACCAGGGCCTGACTTTCTCAGGTTCTGACGGGGGTCCACTAGCAGCAGAAATAAGTCACCGTGTTCTCGCTGCACTGCCCAGAGCCCCAGATCAAGTTCAGGCTTCCATGCCGTAAGCTGATGTTGTAACCCAGTACTGTAAATTCCCAGTTGTCCAAGAGGCTCTCTTTTACAGATTTATAAATCTCAGTCTTGGTTACAGTTTATTTATGATTCTGGATAAAGCTCTTTCCTTCAAGATGTTAAAGTCCTAATGGTTACCATCTGTGATAAATTCCTGCAATGGACAATGGAGAGTTGGGATTTACTGTACTATGTATTCTGCTCTTCGTTCCTAGACATGCTAAGTCAGACCCAGAGACCAGAGATTCATTTCCTTTAAAGGTGAAGGAAAATTCCAATCTTGGGTAAGGAGCTGCTAGTCCTGGGGTTGAGTCCCTGTGTGGCTTTAGATTTCCTTTCGGCTGGCCATCCACTGCTCCCTCCCTCCCTCCCTCCCTCTCGGGATCAGCGCTGGTGGGCTGGAGCGAGACAGGAGGCCTGTTGATCAAGAGGCTGGGAGCTGGGGGGTGAGGTGGGGAGAAAGACCTCCCTAGTAGCCCCTCCAGTTGCCATCACTGCCTCTTGGCTATAGCTGCAGGAGGCTGGGGAGGGCTGAGATGGGGAGAGGCAAGGAGCCCCCTTCCTGTGGTCAGTAACATCTAGGACTTCACTCACGGTCTCCTGCTCCAGACTGGGCTGTGGTCCACGATAGACCCGAGGACATCAGAGCTGACTCAGCACCCCAGAGCACACCCTAAGCAGCCAGAGGGGAGGGGTAAGCTCCCCGACTCTGCCACGCCCTGCCGCATGACAGCCCACTGTGCCACACAGTGGGGATAATACCACCTGCCACTGATAGCATTATGAGGATTCAGCTAGTCAGTGCTGGCGAAGGCCTTGAAACAGCACCTGGCACAGGGTGTTTGGAAAATGAAGTTGAGTCTAGATGGGGAAACACCTTCAGACTCAATAATGGCCTTATCTGCTGTAGAAAGTTGAGCTGGAGGGAGTATCAAGTTTTCCGACTCCTAGTTTAGTGCCGTCTAAGTGAGCTGCAGGCTAGAGCCTCCACACGCCACACCTGGATTCTGGGGTGAAACTGGCACACAGGGGGAAAGAATGTAGCGCTGGACGTGTGACAGGGCAGCCCCAGAGCCGCCCTCTGACGCACCCTCTTCTATAGTTTCATTGCCACGTAGCTCCTGTAACTTACACCTATAGGACCTCCCAGTGTTTTGCACACCACACCCAGTTGACTGTAGATGATGCATCAACATATACCTATTGTCCTGAAAAAGGTGCAGATTCCTCATAAACAACTCCCTGGGGTCAGTTACAGGAAGATGCAATTAGAACTTCGGGGAGGGGTGTGGCTAAAATGAAGTTCTTAAAACCTGGAGTCTGAGGAGCCAACACAAACACTGTAACACTTAGACCATATAATTGGCCCAAAGATCAGTTTACACGACATCATTTTTTGCTTGCGAGAGGATAATAGAAAGGCCAGATGTTCTCAGTGTCATGTACGCCAGCAAATCTGCACCAGTGTTTGCTTAAAATGTTGCTAGGACAACTGGCGTGCTCAGTGCCTACACTGGTCTTTGGAACCCAGTTTAATTCTTTGCAGTATTGTTTTTGGGTGGTTTGATTCAGATCTAAGATATAGCTTTGATCTCAGTTTACCTAGGGGTTGCTCATTTTTGAAGAATGAATGCCAATTATTTTCACATATTATCAACAAAATGCTCTGGATAAATTCTAAGAGGAAAATGCAACAATATCTCCTGCTAAGTGGTAGCTTGGCAGGGTGCTAGGTGGTGTTCCTCTTAGGCTGGAAAATGCCCTTTTTTATCTGATTGAATTTAATGGTGTTGGGAGGATTATTAGAAATGTCCAGGCACATCATCTTTATTACCCAAACCCTATGAGCTAAGTATTATTATCTTCACTGTACAGAAAAGAAAAGACTGAGAGTTTAGCTTTATTTAAATAATGTGCCCAAGGTCATATAGCCTGGGACTGATAGAAGTTGGATTAAAACCTGCTCTGCAGACACAAATCCTCTTTTCACTTGCATTATCCTGAAGATTGACTGAAAGTACAAATAATTTCTTGAAGCACTCGTAGATGGTATCACACAATGTAGCACTTGGCCACAATCCATGTAGATCTTGGCCAAGATCTCTTGACCTAGCTGTCTAGAGATCTTTTCAGAAAACAAGTCTGGTCAATTTACTGCCCAGCTCAAAATCCTACAAAGGCTTCCCATCATCTTTAGAATAAATCTAAACCCCTCCCATGGCATTTCAGCCCTTTTGTGATCTGTTCCTGACTTACATCTTTCTTCTAATTTCTTGCTCTTTTATTGCAGGGTGTCCTAAGCCCTCCACAGATACTGTGTTCAGTGAAAGAACGCACTATCTACTTGGTGCTCTTCTTAGTATAACATTGCTCCCTGGCTGGTGGGTGAGTGTCCCTGAGGCAGCATCTGAGTCTTGTCTCTTCCCAAGATCTTTAAAGCAGCACTTGGTTCAAGTTCAAGTTGGCACTCAACGAACACTGCTCATATCCCCGAGGGTGTCCGAGGCAGAGTGAGCCTTTGTTGAAAGCTCAAATTTTCCCTGCAAGTTTAGGTTCTCAGAGGATCAAAGGTCTATGAACTCATGGCTGTGAGTTCAGGTCTCCTTGGTCACCCTCTCATGGTCTCTTTGGACACCTAGGCTCTTGGGGGAGGGTTGGCAAGCATCTGATGTGCTCCCCTTGATTTCACACTAGACATGTTAACATGTTACCTTCAAAAATAGTTTTTTGGTTACTTTTGATCGACTCCTCAAAGAAAATTGTCCCTCCACAAAACCCTTTTCCTAAGTTGCAGATGACACCCTCTGAAACAGTCGTGGAGTAGACAGATCATATCGACCAGGCTCTGGCTTTTTTCCCATTTCGAGCCGCAGACACCAGTCCAAGGAGCACAGAGACAGGAAACTGGAGGTGTGGGGCTGTGGTCTGCCCTGTGGGTCAGGCCGGGGAGGCAGAGTTCGACCTCCGGTTCTGTCCCTGATGCACTCACTGTGACACCTAGAGTAAGTCACTCTCTTTCTATGGGCCTCCGCTTCTTCATCTCTAAAACAAAGTTGTGCTAGTTAGATGACATTCAAGGGTCTTTCAGCCCTAATATTTTGACTCAATCAAAATTCGAGTTGCCTTGGGGCCCTTTACTCAAATACTTTAATCTGAATTTTTGGGAGCAGTTTGCATGTCTTTTATACTACTTAGTTTGACTAACTCTTTTTGTGTATTGCATGTTTTCAAGTTGGTCATCAGATTTATAAAATGTTAATAAATTGAATTTCAAAATTGGAATCTCCATCTTCTGCTCTATTGTTACCATGGTAAAGACTCAGGCTTGCCTGTGAGCTCTGAATTTGAGTTTGTGGGATGACAGGGGGCATGTGAGAAGAACTGTGAGCTGATTGTGTGCAAATGACTTGCCAGTGGTGAGTTCATGCATGCTGAGTGTTATAAACATCTGCTTAGGTATCAGGCACGATCCATGGAGAGGGGGCTGGCCTTGGGAGACGGTTAAAAATATGCCACGCTCCCACAGATTAAACAAAATAGTTCCCTATGAACAGAGGTCACTTAAGGAAATTGGATTTCACAGTAAGAATACGAAAATAGACAGATGGAAAAATCATAACATGTATGCCAAGTTTCTTCTGACAAATACCTTTTCTCTCTGGCCTAGTTCTCTCATTAATTGTCTTGTTTGGAGGGCTGTAGGTATTTCTCATGTTACAAATGGATTGGGTTTCCAAAATTTGTTTTAAGTCATTTGTTTAGAATTAGGGGCATACTTTCTAGCTTAAGTC